TACATCAAGACCAAGAACAACAACATGAAGTTGTTTTAAAAATTGATCTTCATAATGATTACTAATTTCGTTTGTTAATTTTGTTATTGTATATCGATCATTTTTTCGTTCATAAAAATTTAATCTAAATTTAATATATTTTTTTTTATTATTATAAATTATAAATTAATAAAAAATTAAATATACTTTAATATAACATCTTGAACTTCTGCTACATTTAAAATTTGTAATAAAAAATCAACAATTGGATATTCAGCTAATAATTGTTCACTTGCTTTTGCACCATGCATTGAAAAACTCACATGAATCTATTTAAATTGATAAAATTATATTTTGAAAGAATAAACAATTTCACATAGTTTTGTTTTTTAAATAGAATTTTGAATAATAAACCAGGTGATATTCAGGAAGATTATTTACCAGCAAGATTTTCCTTGAGTATTGTTAGAAGAAAATATGACATAGTTCAGGTCATATAAAAGAGGGGAATCCTTTCAAATCTTTTGATCATGCCGATCAATACTATGTTTTGCTATTGCAATAGTAGGGAGAATTTTAATTAAACAGTTTCTTCAGTCTTGTAAGAAGACTTTATATGTCTTGTTCGGGTCAATTACAAAGAAATCTTTAGTTAAGTTTTTAGAAAATATTGTCATTTTACGAAAATAATCTTATTTTCATCTCGAAAATCGAACTAAAATATTCTTTATTTATATTTTATTTTTTAATTTAATTATCGTTAATTATTATATTCGTATGAGAAAAGATAATGAAGTATTGATAAATCTCAACAAATACTTTTCTTTCTTATTCTATATGAGTATATTTTGAGAAATAAACTTTTCATAATGAATTATCTAATGAGGAAACCTCGCGAAGTGATAAATCGCTTTTGAATTGAGACTTCCCTGATTATTTAGGTCCTATTGAAACTAGGAAAAGCCTAGAATGATTCGTGCCCAAGGATCTTTCTCATCGAGTTACAACCATTTTACTGTGTTTTTAACCTGTTGTAGAGCACTGGAGACAAAATCGAAAGAGTGTATTTTAACCTGAATTTTTACCTATAGAAAGATCTGATGATGACTACGATGTACCAAAAGTTTCAGCGAAAACGAGTGTTTCGTTTCCGAGATAATGAGTTTTCGAAAAATCTTGCCTTTTTCGGTTCTTCTATACAATATGTGCTTTTCTAAGAAGAACATAATCTCAGGAACGAAACACTCGTCTTCGCTGAAACTTTTGGTACATCGTAGTCATCATCAGACCTTTCTATAGGTAAAAATTCAGGTTAAAATACGCTCTTTCGATTTTGTCTCCAGTGCTCTACAACAGGTCAAAAACACAGTAAAATGGTTGTAACTCGATGAGAAAGACCCATGGACACGAATCATTCTAGGTTTTTCCTAGTCTCAATAGGACCTAAATAATCAGGGAAGTCTCAATTCAAAAGCGATTTATCACTTCGCGAGGTTCCAGAGGTGCAGAATCTTCCACAACATCAAAAATTTCCCCCTCCCCCACCTTCCGCGCGGGGATGCACGAGGAAGATTTTGCACCTCTGCGAGGTTCTCTCATTAGATAGAAGCAGAAGATCTGAAATATAATAGATAAGATTCTTATCGGAATTTTTTTCCGATAAAGATCAATTCATTTTCATCATCGAAAATACAGATATCTTAAATGATTTCTCTTGATCGATACCGTAATTATCGCATCGTTATTCTGATCATACTCGCTAGATGAATCAATAGAAGTAGATTTCTTTTTAAGGAATTTTCATTTTGTCACAAGATACTAGATTGAATTATCAGATGGATTTGAACGAACAAGAAATGTTACCTTAAGCGGGGATAAATGTAGATTGTCAAAATAAATTGTTGATTCTTCAGATGTATTATCCGTTTCACCTTTAAATAATGTTTCTAATGGTTTATCAATACGTTTAAGATCCGGATTCATATCAACCGTAGGTGCTGCTGGATCCTAAGAGATTTCAATAAAAAAAAAAAGAAAGAAGAAAACATTCAATTATTAATATTTAATCAAAAATAAACCTTTTGTTGTTTAATAAAAGCAAGAATAGCTATAATTAAACCTTGATCAATAGACATAAAAAATTCTTGTATTAATAATTTAAAATATCTAAATAAAAAATAAAAAAAAAACTTTTGTTTTGAACAAAACAAAAATGAATTTCTATTGTTAAATACTTGATATGTATTGTATTTGATCTAACTGATTGACTTTTAAAAAGACTTAATTCAATAAATGGTTTTTCAGCTAAATAAATAAACTGAGATAAAAAAGAAAATGAAAAGAATAAAAATATCATACGTATATCAGTTGCTGTTGCTTTTGAAATAATTGGATAAAGAATTGTTGGAAATAATGTTATTTGAAGTTGATTATCAATTTGTAAATTATTAATTTTTAAATTAATAGCTTGATGATTTGTTGAAAAACCATATCCAACCCAAAATCCATCAAGTGTATCTCGTTTTACATGAATACTATTACCTTCTTCATCACTTATCTCAGCTACATCTCCATCAAATTTAACATACTAATAAAATCAAATATTTTATTCTTATTTAAAAAAATAAATTCTTACGCGATTTTTATCAATTTGATATTTTGATCTGTTTGTTGTTCATTGAAATTTTCTTGATATTTTTTATAATATTCTTCTATTGATTTATTAATATTATATTCAACTGGTTTAACATTAAAATTTCGTGTTTCAGTCCACATATCTTTTGTTGGATTTAAACTTATATAAAGTAAATCTTCATGATTTATATCATTTATTATTGATATAACAAGACAACGTAAACCTATTTGAATATATGAATTCATTGATTCATTTATTGATGATGTCTAAAACACCGATTTACTATTTTTTTGAAAAAGAATATTTAAAAAAAACAACAATGAAATCTTACATCTGATACTGCATCAATAATTTGTGTTTCAGAAGAAAATATTAATACTGTTTGAGGACCATCATGAAATATTGCATAATATGTTGGATTTTCATTTTCTTTATCAATAATACCACAAACAGGCTACAAACAATTAACAACAATCTACATACATCAATTATCATCGAAGTAATTTTAACAATCTTTAATTGAACTAACTTATTACAATTATATTAACCAACAAAGGAATAGAACTTGCATCTCCATCTAAATATTCATTGACATCAGAGATCGAAACCAAGTTGAGTTTGGCCCGAAGGTCTCGGATTTTGAAAACGTCTTAGATAAATCCTGGAGAAGTTTCTCACTAGAGGCTATTTTGATCGTTTGATTAGTCAATATGACACAAGACTCATCAATCGAAAGTTAATTAGTCTCTGTCGGTTCATTACGTATAACCGTGTTATGGATAGATCTCGATGAACTGACTTTATGTTTACATATTTATCTTTATACACGAATATAAGCCATCGTTTCGACAGTCTTGATCCAGCAATCAATAATGTCCAATTACTCCTCTGATATGATCTTATCATAGAAAATCCTGTTCGATGTCTGCTCAAAGAAATAATTACGTAACAGAATTAGGAATCATTTTTGAGATCAGTTTACAGAACAAATTCCATGAAAGGAAGTCGTTTTATCAATTTAAAATTTTTTTTTTTTTATTCAATAGAAGCGAAGTCTTTCAATGATTTCTTGTGGAAGAAGAAGATCCTCTGAAGAATCTTCTAGTAGAACTTAGTATAAGACTGAATGAATAACGATTTCACATATACGACTTCTGTCTGATTTTACAAGATGAGAAAAGATCAAAAATATGATTTTGTAAGACCTTACTATCTAATTGTTTGACCTGGAAGAGAGATTGCCATATACCTATTTGTTATTTTCTTATCTTCTCTTTTAGAAATAGTCACTCTCATTAATGAGAATAAACAGAAGTCGTACACAGTCTTCATGTATGGCAATCATATACAGAGCAGATCGACGATAAATGAATTTCGTATATAGAGATCATTAAAAAATTTCCAACAATCCTAACACACTTTGTATTTAATCTAATTTCAGTTGAATTTAGGAAATCAATTGAATACATAGTAGATATTTCATTTATAGTTTCTATTTTGAATATAACTTCTTGTATACAATCGCAAATAAACGATTGATAGACACAATATTTCACTATGCCACAAACAGCTGAAAATGACCCTTCGAACGGTTTTAATGTCAAGTATCCGATCATAATACTGCGCCTAGCAAACGTCTGAAAAACTCTCTAAAACAGCCGTTTTTACGACATGCTAATTTTATCTGAGAATTGTTTAAATAAAATTTCTCGTTTGATTTTTTTTTCCTAATAAAATTTTACTTACATTAAGTTTTATAGTTAAATTATCTCCATTAGTTGCAAGAATTAATTCTTGTGGTTTTAATGAATCATTCCATGTATAATAAACATAATATTGTGGAGGTAATATTTGTGTATGACTATTTTTAAAGAAATTTGTTTAATCAAACAAAATAATTAAAAAAATAACATACAAATCTTCTTTTTGACAAAATGATATTGATTGATTTAATAAAGAATTAACAATTAATAGCGGAGCATCACCAATTTTATAATCAGAAAAATTAATTTTAAATCCATCATAATCTGTTGCTGTTACTTCAACATGAAGTGTAGGATGTTCAATATCATTCATACGTAATAATGTTCGATGTTTATCTTTTATTGAAAAACAACTTGCAGATAAAATTCCTCCTAAATAACGAACACACATAACACCTTCTTTTATATAACGTGGCCAATATGGAATTATCTTTATACAAAAAATATTTTCAGATTTTTCTTTTCTTCTAAATAAAATTTAAATATTTACTTGATTAGCTTTAACTATTTTTCAATTATCTTCATAATTTCCACTTACATTTTCAGCAACTTCAATATCAAACTAAATTTTCATTTTATTAAAATACAAAAAATTTCATATGAAAAAAAAAAGAAATTCTTACTGATGAATTATTAATAATCGCTGTTGATGATGCAAGTGTTATGATTTTAGTCATACCAAATGAACAAGTTACAATATCAATACAAACCTTTTAAAATAAATTCTTTATAAAACTAATTCAACGAAGAAAACATAAATAGATTATCGAAATACAATAACAAACGTAAGTTATGATTAACACAAACAGAGAATATGTGACTATCCGTAGTTTTGTAGCCAATTTCTATTCACGGTCACACGAGAGACTAGCGAAGATGTCTATTACATCTGAGAGAAAGATTATCTCAACACCTGAACACTCATTTTAGATCGTTTTTAAGAAAAAAAATCTTCCGTTCCAATATTCTCATTCCGACTTCTATGATTTAATTGATTTTATGCAGCATTTTCTATCTTCATATAACAAAGCGCATAGATCGGGACAGACAGATAGACCAAATAGACTCTTGTAGAAATGTATTAGATAAAATAAATTTATTTACCATATATGTTCTATCATTGATTACTTTACAAGAAGTCATTCCAGTACTTTTAATAACATTAAGTGAAAATGCTTCGGATCATTGAGACATATTTTCATCATCTTCGATACTAACTAAACGTATATAACCCTATAATTGAAATATTTATATTATTTGATATATGAATAAAATAAAAAGTTAAACTTTTTTTTTCTGTGAATCACTATGATATTTATTTGGACAAGCAAAAACTGGTTTATCAATTGAATCAATAAATGTTTTATCATTTTCAATCTAAATATGACAAAAAAAAACAAAAAAATTAAAATTAAAATAGATAAAATAAAAAACCTTAAATTGAAATTTAAGATCAGTTGTGTTAATAATCCAAAATGGAGAATAAAACGAAGCACGATATGAACCACGATATGTATCAACACGTAAAATCATCCTCTACAATTTATATTTCCTAATTGTTTTTCAATATTTAATATCTTACTGTAGTTTCATCTGTAATTAGTTCATGAAATTTGATAATATGTTCATTA